CACACACACACACACACACACACACACACACACACACACACACACACTATCTGAATATTGAGCTTCTCATTGATACTTAAGAATGATGCTTTGGGATCAGTGGCAAATCAAATCAAGGCCCAGGAGGCTGTTGTATCAGGCCATTCAGACTGAGATTTAGGAGTTTCTTTAAGCAGTTCACCTAGTTTTGCTTTTCAGTGCTTTGGACTCCTGGGAGTTAATGGAGCTGGGAAGTCAACAACTTTCAAGATGCTGACTGGAGATACCACTGTGACCAGAGGGGATGCTCTCCTTAACAAAAACAGGTGAGAAAAGCAGCAGCCTGTATGTGCTGCCGAGATTTTCTTTCTTCAGCTTTAATAACTATGCAGTTATTTTTTTTACTACCCATCCTACTATTATAGTTCGTAAAAACATTGAAATCACTTAGGTCAAAAGCTCTTAAAAATCACCTCTAATTTCACTCCCTAGAAATAAACACTGTTTTTACATTTTCTTTCCATTTCACTCTACCCTAAAACTTTACTTAGGTATAATTTACATACATATAATTTACTTGTTCTGAGAAGACAGATCTGTGATTTTTAGTAAACTCATTGGGATTATGCAGTCGTGACTGAGTTCAGTCCCGACCCGTCAGCTCAGGTCTCTTTTGATGCAGGTAAATGTGTCATAACAGAACAACGCTCTATATAGATGTTGAATTTTTGCTATTAATAGGTTTATAATGAAGCTTTCCCAGTGGGTTACATATTCTAAAATCCAGAAACTCCACTAAGTAAATATCTTTATTTGATCAGTTACTTTAAATGTTGGGCATTAATTAGTTTCTGTTATTCAGTGTGTAAATATTTCCTTGCAGATAATTTGTTGTTTCTTCAGAAAATCCTCTCCATGGTAAAAGGGCATATACCTGTCTAGTTGCCCTCTCTACAGCGTGTACCAATTGATAAAGCTACCATTAAGCCGATTTCTAATCGTATGGATAAAGTTATATATCAGAGACCTGTTAGTGGTATTTTCCTTGAGTACTCTAAAGATGTGGGGCTTCTCCTGTTTTTTTTTTTTTTTTACGTGAATAAATATATAAGATGCACTTTTGAACTTTTCTGATCATGACCTATAGAAAATGTATTTTACATTTCAGTGTAGTACATATGTACAGACACATAGGTACACCCACAAACAGCCAATGAATTAAAGTGGCACCTACTGTTACTGCTTGTAATCTATCCTAATAGTTCATATTCTGGTCTGTGTTATGCCATTTAAAAAGTGCTGGCTGTGACCTACTAAATTGATTTCACAACCCAGTAATGGGAGATTGCTCAGATTTCTGAAACACTGGATCAAGGTAGAGTCAATACTATTGTAGAGTCAGAAGTGTAATGAGCTCATCCATCTCCTCCTATCTCTTACTGGTTTATTTTTCAGTAGCAATCTAAAAGAGCCTTGAAAGAATAGGAATTGTGGGAATAGTGAAGACTCCCCAGTCTTGTTCTACTACCAAGTTCCTATGCTATGCAGAGCGACAATAAGTGGTGCATCCTAAGGTTTATCTCAGCTACTGATCATACAACTGAATTGGGCAGTGTAGCTGTAGCAGGCACAGTGTCCATTGGTACCTTGGTTTTAAGCCTTAAGGAGTACTAAATAAGCAGAGAGGACTATACCTGTTTGTCAAGTTCATGGCTGTCTGGAGGTGGCTTAAAGGCAACCATTAGTCTGGGATATGAATGCCACAATTTTCAGATAATATGAAGTGTTATCTTGATGGATTTCATGAAACCTGGAGGTTGCCCCCACAGGTACAAGTAAAAGTATCTGTATGTATGTTTTTCCTATTACCATGTTACAGGGTCTATAATTATATAAACTAATAGAGGAATAAATGGGAGTCTGCATTGTATATTTAGTGCAACCAGAATGTTTAGAACATGAATTATGGCTGAATCAATAAATGGGGTGCAGAAGGCAGCGAGATCTCATGCCCAGTGTTTCTGGGCCTTATGTGGTACTGTGTGGTTGTGAAGAAGACTAGAGTATAGGAGTACTTGGTACATATGAGCAGCTCACACAGTCAGATTAGGGATGAAGACTTATTGTTAAATTTCCAGATTGGCGTGACAAGGCTGTTGGGCAAAGACTGTGCTGTAGTTGCGTAGACTCAATTTGAAACTGGACCAAGCCTGAAGGGTGAAGTGCTTGTGAGCCAGCAAGATCTAGGCAGGGAGGAGACAGGACCCTTCCTGCTAGAAAGGGTTGACATCCTATGACAGAAAGGCTGTTGTTCCTCCAAGCAGAAGCAGGTGTCTGTTTGTCCAAGCATATGTATATGTCTGTCTGTCTGTCTGTCTATCTATGAATGTAAAAGCTAGACTGTCTCATCATAATATCTCTGAACAATTAAACCTGACTCGTTCTGTCTTCCTTTACAGCATCTTATCAAATATCCATGAAGTACATCAGAACATGGGCTACTGCCCTCAGTTCGATGCCATCACAGAACTGCTGACTGGGAGAGAACACGTGGAGTTTTTCGCCCTCTTGAGGGGAGTCCCAGAAAAAGAAGTTGGCAAGGTAGTGTGGAAACCAGAAGGCCAGACAACTCTTTTGACAACCTTGTGTCACATACCTTCTTCACATGTGCCAGCAACCTGAGACTGTTTTTCTTTGCTCACGCTGCAGTCTCTACTGCTGTCACAGTGGTTACAGGGGAGGGTAGGCATGCATAGGCTAGGGGCAGGAAGGGAGTGTAGGCCCCACCACAGGAGTTCTTTCTCCCTCCTGTGGGTCCTCAGGGAGCTGAGACATGAGTCCTACTCAGTGAGAGACCTTTCCTACATTATGTGTTAGAAAGCATGGTGACAGTACTGCATCAGACAAAAGATCCAAGTGCTTTTTATCTCTCTAGGTTGGTGAATGGGCAATCCGCAAACTGGGCCTTGTAAAGTATGGAGAAAAATATGCCAGTAACTATAGTGGAGGCAACAAACGAAAGCTTTCCACAGCCATGGCTCTGATTGGTGGGCCTCCGGTGGTGTTTCTGGTGAGTGTGACATTGTTGAGTATGAGTGGAGGGTGGAAGCTATTCTTCTGTCTTGAAGAGACAACATGGTTTATCTGAAGTCACATGCGGGCCATTGTACACCGGGCATGGTGGCAGCAAGTCAGTCTGGAGCAGGCTTGGAGAGCAGGGGGAAGCTTCTTCTACCGAGCACACTGGATGGCTCCCAAGTAGACAAGCTCCAGACTGTCTCCTTGCTTTGGATAATCCCTGCAAGTATGGCTGAAGCTGAAAGTGTAATTTGATCTCTCTCGGGAACACTCTTCATATGTATATGTTCATGTACCAAAGTTAGTCAGTGTGGACACTGCTTCAGAATGGCCACAGTAGCCGCTGCATCACAGTTCTTTACAGACAGATAGAGACCAGCTCAGATCGGGCAGTTTTCATTTTGGAGAGAGCCCTGGGGGTGTGGGAAGAAGCCTTGACTGGAGGTTTTAATGTCATCTTGACCACGTGGCTATGAAAATGTAGCAGAACAAGGAGAAAAAATATGATGATTATTGCTTCTATCTAAATTGTACTCTAACTTCGAAAATTATTTTGGACAAAAGTGTGTTGTTGTTTTCTGTTTTTGTTTTGTTGTTGTTACGGTTTTTTTGCGATAGGGTTTCACTGTATCGCCCTGGGTACCTGGAACTCATTATGTAGACTAGGTTGACTTTGAACTCAGATATCCACATGGCTCTACTCACGTACGACCCCTTGCTGGGAAACTTAGCATGATCTTTAGCATTAAATTAAAAAAATTGTCTTTGATATTTTTTTTCCATCAAATAATTAAATTCATTTTATTCTGATTATAGGATGAACCAACCACAGGCATGGACCCCAAAGCCCGGAGATTCCTGTGGAATTGTGCCCTAAGCATTGTCAAGGAGGGGAGATCTGTAGTCCTTACATCTCATAGGTGTGTACTATAGTCTTGGCGTCTACAGTGTGTGATTACATTTGGTCATATTATAAAAATTAGAAAATAGAGGCAAAGACTGAAACAGTTACCACCTGGAATTATTCTACTTATCAACACCTGTTATTATCATTTGTCTGCATATGCTCCAGAGTTTTCTTCTGCAAAGCTATACTTACTTAAGTATTTTAAAAACAAAAATGTAATTATAATTTGTGTATTGAAAACATTATTTCAGGTCACAAAATTGAAGTGTGCCATTATTTCTTGTAGCTATATTGTATTTCATGAAGATCTGCTTTACTTTATGTAACCATTCTTTGTGCAAACATTTGGATTATTTCTTTGTATTCACAACTGTAAGACACATGATAGAGAAGAACATCATTTCTGTATCACGGCCAGGGATGATGTAGGATGATGAGGATTTCTTTCTTTGAAGTGCCAGGTGTCATGGGTGATGTTCCAGTGCTTATAGGAGCATCTCTCTGAAAGGAAACCCTTGTTCTGTTTTCCCACAGTATGGAAGAATGTGAAGCTCTTTGTACAAGAATGGCCATTATGGTCAATGGGAGGTTCAGGTGCCTTGGCAGTGTTCAACATCTGAAAAACAGGTAACAGAGATAATTTCGTTGGAATAGCATGTAATGAAATGATTGGTGTTTATTCTTTGTTGAGTATATGTGTGGTCGCTTAAAATAAAAACAGAGGAGTATGTTGGAAAGAGCATGGGCTTTGAAGTCTAAATGGGAAGTATTCCAGTTCTGACCTTGCCAAGTACTGGTTGTGTGATTTGTAAGAAAGCTACTTAACGACTCTTCAGAGTCACTTTCCTGAGACTATTCTGAATTTTGTTATAAAAATGAAATTGAATAATTCACATGTGATATTATGATGAGGACACACTGTGCAGTTAACACGAAAGGGGTTCACATCCTTGCCCTGCTGTAACTTGGGGCATGGGCGCGTGACTAAATTCCTTGGGCTTCTGTTTGTCTGTGTGTCAGACTTCATAGGTTCACATTGAGGATTTAATGGAATCGTGTATTCAAGGCTTTGAGTGTGACATCACACATGACTCAGGATTTCGTAGATAAAACTAAAACTGGTTCCTTCTCAGAAACTGAATTGTGGGTCTTCCAGAGACTTCCCTATTTCTTGGCACAAGTTGGGTTTTCAGGGTTAAGTAGCCTCTTGAGTAGTTTTCTAGGAATGCTCATTTAAATGTTCTTTTTTTTTTTTTTTTTTTTTTCTTGCTTTCAGGTTTGGAGATGGTTATACGATAGTTGTACGAATAGCAGGATCCAGCCCTGACCTGAAGCCTGTCCAGGAGTTCTTTGGACTTGCCTTTCCAGGAAGTGTCCTAAAAGAGAAACATCGAAACATGCTCCAGTACCAGCTTCCATCTTCCTTGTCATCCCTGGCCAAGATATTCAGCATCCTCTCCCAGAGCAAAAAACGACTCCATATAGAAGATTACTCCGTCTCTCAGACAACACTTGACCAAGTAAGCTCTCAGTTAAAAGTGCATTTAGCCGCAGGGTTAAGATTCCTGGTCCTCTCTCACCACCATGAGCCTGAGAGAAGTTCAGCCTGTCTGTGCTTTGATTCTTTCTCTGTCATTCCTACCTATACTATATAAATCTCTATGAGCACATGTAAAAGGATGATGCTTTCTACCATATACAATTACTGTGACTGCTGATACAACAGTCACAGTAACTGCTTTTTATTGTCTATCAACCATGAGCCAGGCATTTTACCCTGGTGCCTTATCTTTTCTAATAACAAAATATACCAAACCAAGCTTGGCAGTTAATAGGTATTCAGTAAATTTTTTTCTTTTCCTTTTAATCAAGCCTAGATATGGCAAAGTGAATGATTGATAAGTAGATGATTGAGTAGCTAGTAATGTGGGGGTAATATAGAAAATAATTTTCAAGTGCTTTTGATGTTTTTTTCAAGTATTCTCCCTTTCATAGAGGGTGTTCTAGTTCAACTACTCACTCAGTTTTGTGTTCTCCTATCCAACCTAATTTTAACACAAGGAAAAATGCAACCATAAATAAAAATGCAACTACAATAACAAAAGAACAAGTCCACAGGCATTCATGTGTGTCTTTCTTTTGACAGGTTTTTGTGAACTTTGCCAAGGACCAAAGTGATGATGACCACTTAAAGGACCTGTCATTACACAAAAACCAGACAGTCGTCGATATGGCCGTTCTCACATCCTTTTTGCAAGATGAGAAAGTGAAAGAAAGTTACGTATGAAGAGTACTATTTACACAGGGTGATTGAAAGGAAGGGAGAGCTACATCTTCCTTTGCACTTTGTCAAGTGTTTCAGAAGAAAGAGGCGTCCCTCGTTCCTGTGGAGAGAAACAAACTGGATACTGTACTGACACTATTCAATGCAATGCAATTCAATGCAATGAGAACACAATTCCATTACAGGGGCAGTGCCTTTGTAGCCTGTGTCTTGTATGGCTCTCTAGTGAAAATGACTTGAAGTTAGTTCATTACCTTCTACAGATGTGAAACTCTGGTATGGAACCCAGCAGACTGTGGGTTTGGATTCATACTTTTTGTTCCTGTGTATTCTCACTGGGATTGCAACAACAATCCATCAAGTAGTCATGGCCAGTGATAGTCAAAGTCAAAGGCATGCACATCCTCATCCATTAAGCCATGCTGAACCACAAAACTTATTTCCTGGTGACACATCCATTGCTGGCAATGAATGTGCCAGAATTATTAGTGCCAAGTTGCTCAGAAAGGCTGAAGCACTGAGGTGTGTCACAAACACTTTTGTGAAAGCTGCCCTGCTGTCTGTGGACATCATTAAATATCAGGTGACAAATTGGTGCCAAGTGTGACTAAAGCCCCACTTTGGTCCTCCCTTTGATGAGCTGCTGTTGTGGCTGTCTTGTTCAAAATGTGGATCTCTCTCTAAACACGGGAACTTGGTTTTGGTGTTCAGTGTTGCCCATGCTTGGAGTCATGCTCACCAGGTCATCTTTCAGAGACTTTTTCAGACACATTTGATCCTAATAAGAAACTGAGCAGCAAAACTGCTGGGGCTGCAAGCTGCTGAGTACGGGGTGTGACATGAAAGAGCTGGTGCATTTCCACGTGGGAGGTCTGGGTCTCTTTGTCCTGGCTCTCAGTACACTGCATCCCAAGATCCTTTATTATTTGACATAAATGTAGTATTGTTTCTAACTGTTTGAATTAACCTGGAAAATGGAGAGGTGGAATTTTATTTTGACTTTGCATTATTAGTATTATTTGGAATTTTAACTTATCAATGGCTTCTGGAACCTTAGAACCATCTGTGTGCATGGAAGAATGTGGCCACACAGCCTCATGCCTTATTTCTTGGTAAATTTGCAGGTGGCATGTCTGAGTAGTGCTAGTGACAGGAAACAGTGTGGCAGTCAACATCTCATGCCATATTTTAAGGTCCTGTAGAAAAGTTTTCAGGTTTTAGGTTGAGTGTTTTTAGACTGTGATCCCTGTGCAGACATGTGGATAGAATGAGGGGGAGCTAGCAGATTCTCTGTACCATGTGTTGAGCTGACCAATTTACAAATATAGATGGTTTTGTTAAATCCACTGAAAGAATATGGCCACACCCTTGCCCACTTGATAGCATCAATACAAAAGCCAAGAAGGGTAACCAAACAATGGACTCTTTCAAGGAGAAAACCGCCAGCTTGAGATTTCTTGGATACAATTTGTGCTTGTAACCTTCTGCACCTTCAGAATAATTGGTTTTTCAGGATTAGACACCCACTTACACCTCTGACAGTCTCAAATATTTCTTCTCTTCAGTCATTCAGCAATCATGAAACAAAAAAACAAACTATTCCACATGGAATATTTTTCAGACTTTTCTAACCCAGGTTTATTTTTTCCATCTGCAAGCAGTATAAAAAAAATGTTATTTTATCAATGCTCAACGATGTCTCTCCTTCATATAAACAAACTTTGCTGTATGGCAAAGTTCAAGTGACCTTTTGCCATCACTAGTTTCTTCAACTTAGTCAAAATGTAGATAATAAATTGGAAGTGTAAGATTTCGGATCTATTTCAAATTAAATTTATATAATGTTATGTAACTCACTGCTTGGAAAGAAAAGTTACTATTTTGATACTAATGTCAACAGAGGTTTCTAAAATGGCATGAAAGTATGTTTCCAATAGTTACTGGGATTCCACTGTTTTTTTATGTATCAAAGATAAAAAATTCAAAGAAAAAATATTTTTTAAAATCAAACGTTTGTTGGCTTTCTCAGTCCACTGTCATCGTATTCTAACTTTTCATTACACTACAGCCCTGAGCAAATCCTTGTTTCAATTACTCTGATTTTGATGCCACACTAAAGACAAACAACAACTAAAGATTAATGCACTGGGAACCATTTTGAAAAAAATTAAATTCAATGTAGATTTAAAATCTGTTCTGAAGTTAGAGGCAATCTGTAGGTATTGTTTGTACAGTACCTTTTACACTATCCCAATAGCAATCTTCCATTTTTCTGTGTGAACAATCACTTTAGAGATTTCAGAAATCAATCCTATCTTTAAGTAAGATTTTCTTATAGTCCCTATGGAGATGTACTATGTGAGTTTAGAAATTCTCAAGAACAAACTTCTGATTTACTTTTTTTTTTCTTTAATCTTGGAATACTTACTAACTGTGAATATGGAAAGTCAAAAGAAAGAGAGCCTTCTTTACATACATACCCAGCACAATTCATTATGACAGAAACAAACCTCAGCTACTGTATTTTGATACCTGTACTGAAAGCATATGCCTCGTGACCACTCAAATGTTGTACATCATTTGCTCTCTGTGTAGCAGTCACTGACTTACAGGGATTGTCTGTTGTCTTCTCATGGTTGTATATATCAGGTAAAATTGTTCCAAAGAGCCATGTGTTATATAATGGGGAATCACTTTGATACTTAAATACTAATTTGTACTCTTGTTAATATTTACTGGTAATGGTGTAATGCCACAGTAATACTGTTTCAAAACTGTTGCATCCCTTTTTATAGAACATTTATATTTCCATGGACTCGATATGTCCTTTTCCCAATTACCCTAGGATGAAGCTGGTTTTGTGCTTTTTCTTTATCATTGGCCCTCATTCCAAGCACTTTATGCTGTCTGTAATGGATCTATTTTTGCACTGGAATATCTGAGATTTGCAAAACTAGACAAGAGTTTCAGAGCAGATTTCTAAGTTAAATCATTTTCATTAAAAGGGAAAAAAACTGAAAAAAAATTTGTATTGCCAATAACTTTATATGAAGAGTTTTAAAATCCTGTTTCTATGTTATGAGTCACAAAATAAAGCTGTGACAGTTCTGCTGGTCTATACAAATTTACTTTTGTGCATTTGCAGCACCACCTGCTGTTAAAAGTGTTATGAGAGAATGCTGTTTGAATCACTAGGAAAAGTTAACATGCTCTGGAGAATACTCAAGATACTACTTCAAAATAAAAGAAAGAATGTATACTTTCAGATTCAGTTGAGGCTGACTAACTGCTATAAATAAGAGGTCAGAGGAGTTCTAGATGGACTAAAGATTACTGATAAGCTAAAGAGAAAACTGCTGTATTAGGCATTCAATATTTACTAATAATTATCTTTTTTAGTAATGCCCCATGTTGGGTGCCATTTGTTGTATTATGCATTAATATTTACTGTTGTTATATCTTTTAGTAACACTGCTGTTAATCCTAAACAGCTGTATAACCAAATCACCACACAGAGACTATGATTTATTTAGTTTACCTAGAACACAGTGCTGGACAATAGTTACTCCATCCTAAACCTCCAAGCCCTCATAGTTTCCTAACATTTAGATTCACCTCTTATACTTGATTTTTGTGAAATCTTAGGTCCAGTTCATTCACCATGTCATTCCAAGACCTTTTCTCCAGACTCTCTCTCCTAGCCTCTCTCTTCTCTGTCCTCCCACTTCCTTCCTGTCCTCTGGCTCCTCCCCACTCCCTCCTACTCCTTCCTCTCCATTGCTCAACATTGTGGCTGGTTGTTTTATTTAGGCATGTTTACACAAAGTTGAGACAGGTGATGCTTAGAATAATTATCACAATGGAATATACGGATTGAAACCAGAGAGTAGGGGAGAGAAATCAGCATTTGAATGAACAAGGGTAAGGTGTATACATTCCAAAAGAACATTATACCAAGAGAAAACACTCTAGGTAGGCTTCCATAACGAAAACAGAACCAGCTTTGTGGAGGCTACAGAAAGGTAGGCTTTGATGCTTATTCAACCAAAACTATAAGGACATACTATTATCTGTACTGAAAAGTGCTAGGGGCAACGCAAAGGTCCCCATGGCCAAAGAGTAGAAATTTGGAAAAAGAAATTATATGGGAGCACTGGGGTTGGTTTCCACAACATCCCTGCTTCCAGATTTTGGTGCTAAGTAGTGTACTCACAAACAGTGCTTTGTTGAGATACTGGATGTGTTGTTTATTTTATTTTTATTTTTTCATGGCTCATTAAGAGTCAATCTCAGAAAAACAGATACATATTTAACCTGGCAACTTGAACCCCAGTTGGTCCTGGTTCTACAGTCATCTCAAAAATGGCTGGGACAATATGAAGGGAGTGGTCTTTATTCAGGGTACAGGTCAGAACTTAGTATGCAGGTTCATGGCTTTTGAGTAGGCCTAGAAGCCTGCCCAGTATCTTATACACAGCTATATCTTCTCATATAGTTCTCATTCATGAAATAACAAAACTGTGCCTCTGAAAGTTCATAATTGAGTGTTTAAAAAAAAAAAGTAGTATGACAGGCCAGTTAACAGTTAAACTACATGAAAATACAAGTTACCCACAAATCTTGACTAAACATTCATAGAAAACCCCCTCTAAAGTTCTGGATTAAAAGCCCACTCTGGACCATAGAGATAGTGCTATGGCATGTATTAAGTTTGGAAAAACATGAGAGAAAATTAACAATTATTTTCAACTTGTCGAATACTGGTAACCTACTGCATGAGGTAAGTCAAGACATTTTACATGTTGAATAAATAATATCACAGAGGAATTTGCTCTAAGATACAGAGCTAATGAAACAACAAATGGTTCTCCCTTTGAAGCTAGGTATCAGTTAAACTTGTCCTTGGTAAATCCGCTAAGCATTGTTATTTATTAATTTAGCAAATATTTACTGAGCTTTCTATGCCTGCCATTCATCCGGGTTCTGGGGATACAGTGTCAATGGATATCAAATTTTATTCTCTAATGATGCACCAGTGAAGGGCAAATGACGGTGGACAAACATACCTGACAGTGCAAGTGCTTCGGAGAATAAGAAACATGGGTTAACAGTGAGGAGTCAGAAACAGGCTGTCTGAGGAGACATTTAAGTTCAGATCTGAACAAAATGGACAACAGTGGCAAGTGAGTGTGTGCAAATGCATCTGAAACATGTAACAGAAAAAGCACAATTGGGAAAAATCTTGGCTGCTAAGGAGGAAGAAGAATCCAATGTCTCTTGTGGGGGCTGGGACATGAGGGATGGAATCAGGGCCTTGCAACCCCATTGTCTTTTATTGTTAGGATAATGAGGAGCCAGGTGTGTGAGCTTGGCTGGGAAGAAAGGGCAGTAGAGGAGGACCAGAGGACAGTGACCAGGATAGGATAGTTGTAGCGGCACATAGGGAGGAAGGGGAACTCTTAATTCAGAGCCCGTTAACACTTGCTCAAAGGCTGTAGATAGGGCTTGAGGGAAAGAACAATAAAAAATGGCTTCTGGTTTCCGCTTATGTTAAAACATGCAGTTGGTATTCAATGATAGAAAATAAAAATGGTCTCCATTATTTCTTGAGCTCAGGGGCAATGATAGAAAATAAATAGTGTTCACACTAAGTACATCACACACACAGTTTTTGTTTATTTCTTTCTAATCACAAGACTGGATGAGCTTACCTAAAGAGAATGAAAGTTTGAGCCTGAGATTTAGCCAAGAAAAGTGGGAGGGGATGGCCAGCAAGACAAAGAAGAGGAACAAGCACATCAGGAGTGTGTTGTACACTAGAATTTAAGAGGATGGTATGTTCCTGGAAGGCAGAAGAATACTCATGTCAGAAACTGCAGCAATGAGCAAGGTTTGCACTTCATAACATGATGGCCCTGGGGAACATGTAAGTCAGTGGACTGATGGGGAGAGTGAGAGGTAAGGAGGCAGAACAATGAATATCCATGAATCTACAGGGAAGCACATGTAGAGCTACGCTACATTACAACGCTTTCCTTTGGATTCCTCTTGCCTGTAGACCATAGCTGGCATCCGTCTTTTCCTGTCTGAGTGTTTTTAATCTTTAGCCGCGTATACTGTCAGGAGCCTTTCTCCACCAAAGTCCCTTACGTCACTTGTCTCACTTCTTCCCTTTCCTAGGGTCTTGGACCAATTAGTTGAAACTGAAGAAATCAAACCCTGTTCTCCCAGAGGAACATGTTTCTTTTACAATGATGAATAGGGAGAGGTCATTCTAAGTAACAGAGTTTATTAAGAAAGTGTAATGAGTCTTAGGCTTATTTCAACATGATGCAAATTTGTACTCCTTTAACAACTGAAAGTACTCCAAGTTCAGGTTCCACAGTAGTCACGTGGCTACGCTTTGCTCAGTAGATTAGGAGTTGGTGCTGGGAATCAGTCCAGGGTATGAATATGCAAGTACCATTTTCTTTTTTTTTTTTTTCTTTATTTTTCCATTTTCTTATCCTTTGGAGTTATTTAGTAGAGGAGGAATTAGACTCACTGGGTCCTACCTGTTTCTCTTCCTATAAATACAATTGCTATATTTTTGTAGTCTAGAAAGGCATCTCCGAACCGACAATAGTGTCTTCTGTCTTTCTTGATTATAGTGAGAATTCCTACTGTGTCTTTCATGGATACTTTCCAAAGAAGGTGGTGGGAAACCTCCAATGATTCATTGATAATAGTGGATAAGATGAAGTATGGAGGAATGATGCACTATTTTTTTTTAATGCAAAAACTCTTTATTCATCTGTTTTCTGTTGTCAGAACAAAATACCTGAGTCTGGAGGTCTGGAATGTGCATGGGGGAGGGAGATAGACAGAGACACAGAGACAGACAGGAGACATTTAGCTCACAACTTTGTAATTCTGAAGACTGAAAATCCAAGAGCAGGTGGTCTCATTTAAGCCTCATGGAAAAAGGCATCATGGTGATAGCACATGTAAAAATGGAGGGAAAGAAATGCAAAGAGATCCAAAGTTCATATCAAAGTTACAAACAGCCCACTATTATCATTTGAATGTAGTGAATGTTTCCCATGTTCCCCACATGCTTATGTGTTTGAACATGGTCCCCAGCTCATGGTACTGTTCCAGGTAATATTAAACCTTCTAGGATTACAGTGAGGATCCACTTTCTGTCCAGGTCTGTGTTTCATGTTCTACCCAGATATGAGGAGCTCTAGCCATGTATTCCCACCTCCGTGAATTGTTATGCCTTCCTTACCATGATGGATGGTACAATTTAAAGCCATGAACTAAAATAAACCTTTCCTTCTTTGTTTCTGTCAGGTATCTGGACATAGCAATTAACAAAGTAACCAATAGAACTCCACTTCAAGAGAACCAGCTTGGGACCCAGGAATATTGTGGTAGTTTGAATAAGAATGGCACATCTTTAATCCCATCACTCAGGGAGAAAGAGGCAGACAGATCTCTATGAGCTTGAGGCCAGCCTGTTCTACAAATCAAGTCCAGGACATTCAAGACTATACAGAGAAATCCTGTCTCAAAATCAATCAATCAATCAATCAATCAATCAATCAATCAATCAAAAAAAAAAACCCAAATCAAAAAGCAAACAAAAAGGAAGGGCTCACATAGGCCCATAGATTTGAAAGCTTGGTCACCAGGGAGTGGCACTATTTGAAAGGATTAGAAGGTATGGCCTTGTTGGAGGAAGTGTGTCACGAGGGGTGGGCTTTGACATTTCAAGGGCCCATTCCAAGCTCTCTCTTGCTTCTGCCGGTAGATCTGGACATAGAATTCAGCTACTTCTCCAGCTCCTTGCCTGGCTGTATGCAGCCATGTTCCCCACCATGATGACAATGGACTAAACCTCTGTAAGCAAACCTACTTAATTAACTGCTTTCCTTTAGGTAATCATGGTGTCTCTTCACAGCAATAGAACACTGACTAAGACATTTTATAACGTTTCCACCTCTAAACATCATTACATTAGAAATTAGGGTTTCAGTATGTGAATTTGAAGGGGATAAAAATTTATTCCATAGCAAACAGGGAATTCAATTTTAAATAGGACTGTCAGGGAGGGCTGCATAGGCCTCTGGATAAAGATCCAAAGAAGGTATGGAAATGATCCATGAAGATTCATGTGCAAGAGAGATTTTAGGCAGGGGGAATAAACAAGATAAATAGGGAACAGGCAAGATAAAGCTTATTGAGTCAGGAAAAAAAAAAGCTGCTAAGTCACCTGGAACTGAGAGAGTGGAATGACACCAAGAAAGGCAACAGGGCTTGTAGGCCACACTGAAGGGCTTGGACACTGACTCTAAGTGAAACAGTGTTAAGTCTAAAATCACCACACAGGCATATGCAATTGGCAAGAGTGTTTTACTTCTCAAAAATCTGTGTGCATGGGTCAAACCATTTTACAAAACAGTGACCCTAGACAAACGCATGAAAGCCTTTTTATTCTAGCAAGGGTTAGGTAATCTAAAACTTTGTTGGTGGATGCCAGAGAAGTTACAAGGGTCAGTTGCTAATTGGCTTGCATCTAGGTGGTCGTTGGGCTACGTTCCTGTGACATGAATGTTTACCTACAGGATGAGATGTGGCTACCCACCACAGATGCCCCATCCTGAGACAATATATTTTCCCATTCTTGTGGTTATCTCTAGGCTGTTCCTTGGGTAGGGGATGTTATGGTCTTGTTCCTGTAACTGGTGACCTATGGCCTGGTTCCCAGGACTGATGACTTGACTTTTAAAGTCAGACCTGGTCCTAAAATGGAGACAAATTGGAGTTTATGTGATCCTCTTAACAGGAGGCTACTGGAGGCATGAGGGAGCAGAGTAGTAATGCGGCTTATGGTTTATAGTCTTTTGGTTGTTCTGTTGAAGATAGACTAGGATGATAGTAGACCAGGAAAGAGCTTTTGCCTCAAGTCCTGATAATGATGGGCTCAAACCAGATTGAATGGTGGCGCAGGGATGTGAAGCAATCAAATTCTGGACTTCGGAGATTTGCTGATAGATATGTAATGGGGTAATGTCCTGAGCATATGGACAGGATGGGAAGTATCATTTACTGAGATATTACTGTGGGTAAAGGTTAAGAGCTCAGCTTTCAACAGGCGTGATGTGAAGTTTCTAACATGCAGGCAGAGGTGTTAAGACTGACAAATAAGGCTGAATTCCACAGAATGCATATACATTGTATGAACTGTCTGAATATAGGTGGCGTTTGGAGACATATGATAATCCAGGAAGTTGAGTTCAGGACAGAAAAGATGTCTAAGGAATCAGCTCTGAAATATGACATTACTGGAGATCAAGGAGACAAGGTAGAGACTTAAAGGCATTAATGAGTCTTCATTAAGACTAAGCAGCTAGTGTTTATGGGAATGAAGAAAATATTTCTAGAACAATGAAGAGGTGAACTGCTAGGAGATCTACTAAAATGAGGACTGGAAAGTGAGTTTGATGAAAGTGTGTTAGTGAAATTTTTAAGAGAGACTCAATTAGAGGCTGGAAATATGACACTACTTTTGTGTTACTATAGTAAAAGGCAAGGCGGGCTGTTTCTGTCTCTTTTTCTTTTTTTAAAGACATGGTGTAGCCTTGGCTGTCCTGGACTTACTTTGTAGACTAGGCTGGCCTTGAACTCACAGAGATCCACCTGTCTCTGCCTCCCCAAGTGCCACCACGCCCAGCTTTGTTTCAGTTTCTTAAAGATAGGATAAGTAATCACATATTTGTATGCTAAGAAGGAGTAAGTTGAAAAAGCAGCTTCAGGAGACAGAAAGCGCTGTGGCTACTAAGTGTACTGTGGCTACTAAGTGTACAAGTGCACAAGCAGGTTTCCCCGAGGACAGAGCCTGCCTGCAGACAGTGATGGGGAGTGTGAGGGTGTAGTCTCTTCTGAGTACTTTTGTTTCCAATGAAGAAGGAAGTTCAACAACAGAGAAAGATGAGGAGCTGGAACTGGGAACTGAAGGGTCCAAAAATGACATACACGACTCAGACTCTGAGAACATGCAAAGACAAGAGCAGATTTTATTAAGCGACATGTTCCAGCATGCAGGAGTCAACCATTCTAGAAAATGGCGATCCCAGACAAAGGTGTGCAGGCCTTTTAAAGGGAGTTGGGAATTTCCAGGAGTGATGAGCTAATCCTATTCTGATGGCAAATGGAGCAGCAGGATTGTGGAAGAGAGAGGTGGACTTGCGGCGGCTCGTGCACCAGCGTGTGAACATAGCTGTGGTGGATCAGGAACATGTCTTGCTGAGGAGGATGGACAGAGCTTGCGCAGACTCAGCCCCATAACGTGCTATCCAATAGCAAGGCTGCCCTGGCTCTGAGCCAGGACAGCATATTCTAGATGGAGAACAGCTAGTTTTCTGGATTGGCCTATCTGAAAGATCTCCACGGTGGGTACTGCTGCTGGAGGCCATGTGGTGTCCATATCCATGGCTGATGCTGCCACTGGGGCCATGCTGCCATTCACTGTCCATGTTACCTCCGGAGGCCATGCTGGTGTCTGTGGTCTGTGACAACTTCCCCCTTCCTCCAACCCCCCAAACAAACAGAACAGACAAGAAGCCATGAAGAGTGTCCTTAAAAATTGTGGCATGGATGATGAAGTATAGCTCCTCACAGTTCATGGTGTGGGGGAGGGGATAGAGGTGAGGAAGACTCAGTTATCTTTAAGGGGCTGGCCACTTTGAGTCTGACCAAGCTCCAGTGACTATACGGACAACACAGATTGGACTTGGTGTATTTTTTGTCATTTTTCTTTTTCTCCTTTTTCTGCAGAGTGTACAAGCATAGGAGGGTGGACTTGGGAGGACTGGGAAGTGAGTGTGATAAAGTTGCATTGTGCAAAATTCCCAAATAGTCAATAAAAATATCATGTTAAAAATGTTTTATAATATACTTTAAATTTTAATCAAATTAAAAAGTTTGTTTATTTGACAACTACAACATTCATTGTATACATTCTCCATATAGGATATTGTGTTACTTAAGGAAAATTTCACACAAGCACATATTGTACATTGAGTTATGTTCTCCTCCTCTTTTTGCCTTTTCCCCTTCTCTGCTCCCATCAGTCCCCTCTGTTACCACACAATTTTGTTCTTATTTTCATTTCATACACACATACATGATATTACATATACAGAAAATCTAGGAACCACATATGAGAAAGAACATGGTATTTGTCTTTCTGAGACTTACAGTTATCTGAGACTGGCTTAATTTTATCTCTTGTCAGTTTGTGTGTCTGTGAGGCAGACATCAAGCTCCAGCTATTTCACATAAATGCTCCAATGCTTTGAACCCTGTCTGAAGAGTGTTGCGATGACTGTGGAAGCTGTAGAACCTGCCTTCGCGAGCACCATCTCATTCTGCAGACACTGAGATGGCAGTGTTAAAGAAGGCGCCTCAGACAGGCCATGTGCTGTGTTCTGCGGTCTAACAACACTTACTAGGAAGCTGCCACATTATTATGGTGTCATTAGCCTGTGCAACACAGGAAGAGCTCTAGAGAAGAGGATGTAATTATCCAAGACACACTTGAAAAATCAGAATGGATGTGCAGGCTTTTAATAGGTCAATGATTTTCATAATTATAAAGACCTTGTTGAAATAAATAACTGTCTTGTAATCTTTGTGACTGATTCAAGGTAAAGTTAAAAATAGCAAAAAGCAATTAAAAAAGAGCACGCTAAAATGGTATTATACAGCAATAAGTCTCAAGAATATATTATTTTTCAACTTTGATTTTAATTAATGTGAAACCATAATTAAAACAAAGGATATATTACATTTTTCTTTAAAGTATAAAGACAAATACCAGATTTAATATTTGTATCAATTGCATTTGATACCACAAAGTAAACATTACTGGGTAAAAAATATTTTTAAGTTTCAGAAAAAATGAATATAATAAAACAGACATAAAAATAATGATATTGCATTAATCAAATAATTTTAAAATATTTCCAGGCAAAAATTTCAAAATAATTTTTTGAATACAAGATAGCAATTAATTATAAAAATCACAGAAGATATTGTGAAACAATGAATTACCATGGTCATGGGGTAATGGCAACTCTTTCTGATGTCCAGTAGATATGAAATGGCATGGGGAAAATGAGCAGAAGTATTTCCTGAACTACTGTTAGTACATAACACAGGCAGCCTTAAAAATGGAGAGGGCACAATGGACTAACTCACCATCTCCTTCAGACAACAAAAAGGACGATTCTCTGGGGAGAATGGAGGAACACGCCTCACATCTGGGACCAGATGCTCATGTTCAATCCTAGGCAGGAAACTACTTCAGTGGTGAAAATGACGCTGGAATCAGGAACATGTTCTGCTGAGACTCTAGGTAGCTGACACTTTCCCGAACTGGAAAGACATTTTGTAAGACAATGGAGCTATCAGAAGAATCAAATTTGTTCTAAAATAATTCATGCCTAATGAAACAGCTCACCAGCAGCCACGACCCTGGGATCCTCATGAGACAGATGTCTCCCAGCTGCGCGACTGTCTGCACTCTCATTCCACCACAGAACGTGAACTGCGGAAGTAAATCATGAGTTAGCTGCATTTTTCTATAACAGGTATTTCTTCTTTTATTTTTGATACTATAATTGCATATATATATATATATATAATTGCATATAATTATATATATATATAATATATTTTCCCCCTTCCCTTTCTTTCCTTCAAGTCCACCCTGCTCTCTTTCAAATTCATGTCCTCTTTTTTATTGTTATCTACATATATGGACACATACATGTGTATGTGTATTCTATTCTAGATATAACGTTATAGCAGGTGTTTTTAGAATGTGTGTGTACCGGGTGTGGAGTCGAGGGTCTTTTGAATGAATGGGAATGAATACTGGGTAAGTACTATACCTCTGCTCTATATCCCTGACCGTGATCATGGATGTGTATCATGGATGTGTATGTCTGTACCTGTGTGGGTGTGCAAGTCTATGTGTGCATGTGGAAGTCAGAGGTCAGAGTCGGGTGTCCCCTGCAATACAGGGTCTCTCACTGAACTTGGAACTTTACAATCTGGCTAGACCAGCTGGCCAGCCTCCTCTTTCCATCTCCCCAGGCCTGAGATTATAGATGCTGCCACTGAAGCCAGCTTTGATATGGGTGCTAGGAATCAAACTCAGGTCCTCATGCTGGTACAGCCTGTCTATCCGTGAGAGAGCACTATGCCATGGACACACACAGCTAACAACTCTTTGGTCTTTGCATTCCTTTCTCATTCATACAGCACTGTTAACTCCAACAATGAGATATAGGTAAATTTTTTTGTTTGGGATTTGTCCATAATTTTTGCATTTATAAAAGTGTAAATATTTTCATCCAGAAACAATCTTTTTACTCCAATAATGTTATTTTGAAACAAACCATAACAAGACTTTTAGAAAAAAAAGATGAAAAGAATATTTTCTTAAAGACTTTTCCAGTTTCTAAACAACAGTTAACCTGTGAAATAGCTCCAAAAGGTATTAGCATTTGCAATAAAAAATAAGATACAAATCAGTGTTTTTAGACCTTACAATGAGGAAAAAAAAATGTCAAAATTAATTATCATAATAAAAAAAACCCCCAAGAAACATGATTACCAACATTCATCATAGCCTCACAAAAACAAACGGCTGTACCTCTGTTGAGGGTTCCGTATTCAGTGTGGAAAACACCAACCAGTGTAGAGTAGCCAAGATCAACGTGAGCATTCACTGCCCTTTTGAATGCCTTACCCCACAGAGCCGGGCCACCAGGCTTCATCTGAAAGGTGGCCAGTTCATAGACTCCTAGAATTGACAGAACGAGAATTATTTAACACATACTATTCAAGCAATTTGCTTTGTTTGACTCTAGGAGTGGGAGGCGACCCTGTCTGTGTATACAGACTTATGCAGATATATTTGTTAATTCTTTGCATTATCTTTCCTCGTTTTTATGTTTAGAAATTCTTGTCTATGTTTAAAGTTAACCTTAATAACTGAGAAGAAATAGAAGCTATACATAAACAATTAGATGAAATAGTTTTAATCTGGGAACTTTACTAATGCACCAGATATCGGATACTTTATCATGAAATAGGGGTTTAAGCTGTTTAAGTCTGTAAGAAAAGAAATAAGCATCTTTTGATCTATTTTTTCTCTGCTTTTCAATTTTGAGAGAGGAGATATTATTCTTTGTGTAATTTCCTCCTTTCAGAGTCTATTCCTAACAGGAATAGCAAGAAAAGAGATGGCCTGAAGTCATATCAAACTTTCTGAAAAGGAACCTAAGAAGGGGGGGGAGGGGGAGAGTGAGCTTAGTGTTCTTAAATATCCAAGTATTGTTTGGAAGGCTTTTTACCTCTAGTCAGAAATATAAATCAGAAGTGAGAAACTGGAGGATAAGTAAATCTGATAGAAAAAAATTACAAGGTCAGTGAAGAATTAGAAAAATATAGAGGAAAATAAGATTTAGGCACAGCAAGATTGTTCAGTGTGTAAAAATGCTGTTGCCAAGCTTGACAGAGCTCAATCCTTGGAACACCCACACAATATAAGGAAGGAACCAACTCCCCCAAGTTGTTCTCTGACCTTCATGTGTGCACTATGACATGCATATATACTACATAAATAAATTAATGTGTAAAGTGTTAACAAAATCAGGATTTGGCACTCCAAGAGATGGCAACTCTGCATGGACAGTGCTGAGAGCCAAGGGTGGGCCTATGCAGATTAATGCTGTATGCCTGTGGCTTGGGTCCCAGGCTAGAGGCGGCATGGCAAGGAAGAAAAGACAGACATGCAGACACAGGTGTCAGGTGGGGTTCTGTAACACTACCACCACCACCACCGGAAACCTCAGCTTGTTTATTGGTGCAGTCCAGGAGGCAGGGTCGGCCAGTCTTGTAGGTGAGCAGTCACAGGCTCTAAACATCCAGGAGGAGGAAGCTGCAGAGGCTAGCTGCACATGAGCCTGAAAATGGCTTTGCTAATTGTCCCATAGTTCTGAGGGCTTCCACGTCCTTTACAAGCTGTGCCCATGTTAAAATTCACATTCACACACGTCTCCACTCACTCACGCTTCCTCTGCTCCTTACAGGGAAAGGGCTCAATGAGACTTTTCACATTTCTTGTACTCTAAAATACATTTACAGAGTTAGGAAAAATAGGAAATAAAATAATAGTGAAAATGTTACACTTTTATAACCTGACCTTTGTTTAAAACTAGATTGAGAGAACAGCTTCTTGAAATAAACAAGAAGACATGTCATAAGGAATTATTTTTAAACTGAGAAAGAAGCAAGAGGAAGACAGAAAGCTTAGCTACAGTGTACACCTTGGCAGTGCTAGTTAATTCACTCCCTCCAGACAGTCCATTTTATAAGTAAAGATGTACTAAACCTAGAATACTGTAATCTGTGGGAAGCATCGTTGTAATTAAATGTTTCTGTTATTTAAAAAGGCATGTACACATCTCTAATTTCTGTTTGAGAGTCTGTGCAGAAGGGTGAGCTGGAGTTCAGCCTGGGTACACTGTGAGACCTTGTCTCAGCTCTAAAAATGAATCTGAAAACAGTTTGCATTACTTTAATATTATATTGACTTTTTCTAAATTGTAACTAAGCATCCTTTAATCTTTATCATTTAGTTTGGAAGGGCTGGAAAGACGGCTCAGTAGTCAAAAGCACTTGTTTCTCTAGCAGAGAACCTGCGTTCAAAATTCCCATTACCCAAATGGCAGTTCACAGCTGTCTGTAATTCCAGTTCTATGGGGATCTGATGCCCTCTTCTGGCCTCCACAGGTGCCACGCATGCCAATGGTATACAGAAAAACATATAGGCAAAACACCCACATGCCTTAAAAAAGAAAACAACAACCCATCCCAAAATCAATCAATCTCATATCAATCTCTCTCTAAAATACTTCATTAATTAATTCTTAGTTTTTAAGAATAAACTAAGAACAGTTTTTATCATGACAGTCACAGCACTATTCCTATATAAACAAATAATTCTAGTGACACTTTTCTTTTTAAATCACTTTATATCTGTACTGTTTCAGTCATGAAAGTTCACAGTGGCAAAGACTCACTCACCTTCCTTGGGAGGTGTTCCTAATTTGCACCATGGTACCAGGTAGGTTATCTCAATCACTTGTTTCTCAATGAAAGGCAAATTTGGGATAAGGAATTCTTTTTGCCATTCCTTATCATTGGCCAAAGCTTTGCGGACTGCAGTTCGATGAGCAAAATTATCTATGGTAGAAAAGGTGAAGAAACTTTATGTTATTTTATTTAAAATTATCTACTTTTCATATTTCGCCCAAATGAGCAAACATTTTAGTCACAGCACGTAAGAACACTGTGTTACATGTGGGAACATCCACATGGAAAATGTGGTATTTGCGCCCAGTCACTCAGCAGTGTTCAGGGTAAGAGAAACAGAAACAATCATCGTAACCACTTTGTGGGCTTCCTGGTTCTACCACCCAGCACGTACAGCTAAGCACTGTACACTTCTCAGTCTGTGATATGGGAAATAGGTACAACCTTCGGGTATGTGAGGATTAAATGAATCCATGAACAGGGCTTGGAACAGACTTCAGCAGAGTGCCGGGTCCATGTGGATTCCTCTTCAATTGAGGCTCCTACCTGACAGGGCAGGTTGAGAGGAAAATGCTTTGGTAGTGATGGGAAGCGGTCAAGTCAAGGTGTGCCTTGATCAGATTCCAACCTGTGAGCCCACTGTCCTTTCAGTGAACAAAAATGCTGTTTTTTACTGGGTCATGTGTTAACTTGTATACCACCTGAAGCATATATTAATTTTAATGAGCCTTGATCTCTTAAAACATGGAAGAGTCCCAAACAATGCTATGTTAGGTATAGAATGAACAATTTTCATAGTAAAGCATTTTTGAACATGAATCTGGACACTGACAGATAAACCAAAAATGAGACGATGAGTTCTTTGGGTATCAGGGTATGCCCTGATGTGAACTGTTAAGAGCAGACACAAGAGTAAGAAACTTCATAGGTTCTTGTACCGTGGTCTCCTTTCTGTGACTATGTTATCTCCAGAATGAGAAGAGGTTTCTTCAGTTCCTCTGCCTTTACATCCATTATAGAACAAGACAGTGAATACTTTGAAATTGTGAAGAATTAAATAAAAGTGACTGCTCAATGTAACAAAATCATTACATCTTAAGGTTGGATGCCCTCTCAAGGGCTCTAAACACGAAAATTGGTAAATTAATAATAACTAAGATGCCTATACCAAACTCTAGGTCTATTAATACGGTACTTTCATTTTCTATTCTGAACTTGGACTTTGGAAAGCACATATTTTAACTTTACAAAGGTGTTTGTTCCAACAAACGATTCTAAAACCTAGAATTAAAGTAAGTTCATCAACTTAAGAGTTTAATGAAACAAAGCGTTTCCATACAGGTTAACCTCAAGTCAAGTGGTAGATAGAAAAGTGCTGCTGAGTAATGGCTAAATTTACTTGGCTTTGTTACTGCATTGCTTTCGAAATGTTTTCTGTAACCTGTGTGTATGTACAGTAACAAAGACTGAAAAACCAAGCTTCACAGACCACCTAACAATGAGCATTTTGTATGAAGCAGAAGCTGTGTGATTCATACCATACTTCCAAATATGGAATACTTTGTTTGTTCTGCCTCCAAATTCTACACTCCAATATCCAATCATTTCAGAGTGAGCTGTCCGAAGGTGGACACTTTTTTTAAAATTTTCCAGGAACTCATTAGTCTTTGAGGGCTTGAGAAAATAGGTGCGGAATTCATAAAATGTTCCATCACTTTGCCTGGGGCCAGTAGCAAAAGGTGAACATACCTGAAAAAAGATAGGAGACATTTAAATATTTTGAAAAAAATAAGATTTATCATGATGTCAAAATCATATATTTGAGCCTGAAAACGAAGGATACAAAGAAGACTCATAATCTCTATTTCTCTTGTCAACTCTTTATAGACATTTTTATGAGATGACAATAAAGGTAACTGCTGTTACGTGTACTGAGTATAGAGTTACTCTTTCCTGGTTGGAGGCCTTCATGAAAAGTTGCTGATATTCAATCATAACATTGTAATCATGTTTCCCAGGGAACTATGATCAGGAGCTTTATAACTTTGGAGTTTTTTCTTATTTAGTCAACAGTACTACTCACTTAAAAGAAGCTTGCAAATTCTGTATATGTGTCTACTTGACAGACATGATGAAAATCTTTATTAGCAGAAGACTTTTTGGGTTCCTACAAAATGAGTATTATTATTTAGATCTAGATCTAAACTTTAATATTCAGTGGGGCTGGAGAGATGGCTCAGAGGTTAAGAACACTGGCTGTTCTACCAAAGGTCCTGAGTTCAATTCCCAGCAACTACATGGTGGCTCACAACCATTTATAATGAGATCTAGTGTTCTCTCCTGGTGCACAGGCACACATGCAGGCAGAACACTGTATACATAATAAGTAAATAATTTTAAAAAAGTACTCAGTGGTCAGAAAAGAGATGCTATGAATCATTCAAATTGCTTTGCAAAAGGACTGCAGAGATGGCTCAGAGGTTAAGAGCACTGGCTGTTCTTCCAAGGGTCCTGAGTTCAATTCCCAGAAACCATAAGGTGGTGAGATCTGGTGCCCTCATGTGACCTGCAGGTTTACATGCAGGTAAACACTATATAAATTCTAAATAAAGCTTTGCAGTCTACTGGATGGCTGTCTAAGAGTTGAAAAGGGAAAATTCAAGGAGACAGAAGTGCTTGGAAACATTAGTTTCTTGTTGGGGCCCAAAGGTCCTTGCACCCACGGAGCATTAGGGAACCAGGAATGTTAAATACACAGGGGCCTCTCCTCAATTAAAGAATTACCTGTTTCCCTGCCCATAAGGCTGGGAGTGGATATTGTTGACATCTGGTGACCTTTTCACTATCAGTGGTGACAGACCTCAACTAAATCCCCCACGTGATTATTCCAGACTTCCCCTCCTTAGACTATTATCTTCAGCTCCAGTAAAGCCATCCTTAGGTAAGATGTCAGAGGTGCTTTGTAGCCTGCTGACCTCTACACAGAGGTCAGAGACCATGCTAGATTCTAGGTTTTTAAACTAGTATGTGTGGTCACATGTACTAGAATGCCGTGTGTGTGTGTGTGTGTGTGTGTGTGTGTGTGTGATTTATGGCAAGATGCTTCTTAGCAGTTATTAGCTCACAACCTGAAGATTCTACTTTTTTATGTAGTCACTGTTAATATTTATTTAAAAATGACATGCACACAACCAATCTTAAATCCATTGAGGTTTATTGGATGGAGATGGAGAGAGGAGAGTGGGAGACATGATAGGAGGGGAGAGGGGGTGCCCTGACAGAGAAGGGAGAGAGCAGGAGAGAGGAAGAGAGCGCGAGAGCAAGAAAGCAAGAGCAAGGCAGGTTTACCCTTTTATGGAGCAACTGATCCATGCCTGGCAGGTGCTGTTGGGATCCATAAGTAGGCATCTCTACAGCCAGCCCCAAGGGACCTGACAAAGGGGTATCAGGCTTCTGTGAGGCCACCTACGGCCCACCTGAAACCACCTGTGCATGTTCTGGGTTACCTTATAAGAGAACTTGTTCCTTCACCTCCTTCTCTCTCTCTCTCTCTCTCTCTCTCTCTCTCTCTCTCTCT